GATTCTCTTTGTGGTTTGTTTTGTTTCGCTATCATATATATTATGATGTTTTTGTTTGTTGGTTTGGTTTATCGGTTATATGTATGCTATATTGTTTCTTCTATTGATATATCATTTTCATTTGTCCATTGTATTGTTTGTTGGCATTAGAAATTAGATAGGTTCATGCGGTGCATGATGCATAAACAACAAGAAAGAAAACATGAAGATTCAACACTGCACCAGAATCAAGATAGTTCCAAATCTCTTAGATAATATAACATAAATTCAATTCAATTACACCAAACAAAGCATAGAAAGAAAGCGATTATTCTTATATTCTATACCAAACATCTATATAGGCTTGGTAGATTCTCATAACATAAATTAACTCATGTGAATATATAAATATATTACTGGCCTGCGGCAAAAGCTTCAACAGGGAAAGTCTTGGTAATACCAGCAAGACTCTTGAAATGAATCTTTCCGGTTGGTTGTTCATCGGCCGTGATCTCGTTAACCGGAGGCCATAACATGAGTTCTTTTGCTTTCACTCCTTTAAGTTTCTTAATCTTCTTCTTTGAAATGTAACCTGTTATCTCAGTATCGTAGCTCACAAGCTTGCTTATCAGATTGAACTTATGCTCCACTTTCTTCTTCTGCAGGATCCATATGTAACCGGTTGGTTTCACGTACCCGATTTCGATTATATCGGCGAGAGGGAGAAGTCCTTCTGGTAGTTCGAATTCTTGGAGAAGAGAAAGTGCTGCTTTTAGAGACTCTTCGTGTCCTTTCTTCACAATGGCTCCTTCTTTTTCTGCCATGATGATAATGTTGTTGGTGATGTGAAAAGAGGGAATGTGTTGAGATTGTTGGAGAGGTTTTGGTTTTGTGTGGGTATATATAGGGTATAGTTAAGGTGATGGAAATAATGAAGGGCAACGTTTGTGTTTGGTGGTTTCAAAGAAAACGTTTGTGCTTGGTAGAGATCGAAGTAGTTTTCTTTGTATGTTCCGTCCAATTAGGCTTTGGTAAGGATATGTTATGGATCTACCTGTTGGCTATTGTAGATTGAGGCCATCTGTATATAGTGATATTGTTTTATTTTAATTGAGTTATAGAATAACAAAATATTGTTATAAATATAAATATAGAGATTTAGGGGTTGGTGGATACTTTGATTTAAATGTATAAGTTGTTCCGGTAGTTTCGTGTGAGCGGTTGGTTTAGAGTTCAAATTTGTATTTTTTATATTGTAGTAATAAAAATAAGTGGTTGATCCTTATAAATAAACCATTTTTAAAAAAATAGAGATTTTTATTAATTCTTTATGGTTTTTTCAATTTTTTTTTTAGGTTGGATTCCTATTGTTTGGAGAGGAAAGTGACGTTGATATTTATGATTATGTCTTTTCTTTGAAGTTGGCATTAAATGTCGTCAATTTTTTTTTTTTAAGGTTGTGGTATTTAAGCTCGAGGTGGACTGGTGAGGCAGCGGCGTTCAACATGGCCGCAAAGGTTCGTCCCAAGATACAATTGTAAATACTCTTGCAAGAAACAACAAAAAATTGAGAATTTACCGCTTGGATGTCCTCTCCACTTCAAACAGAAAGTATTAGTTCCACATATCCCCAAGGACGGGTTGTGGTTCCATTAAATGCTTAGAGGTCTGAGCCTTTGTACGACAGTAAGTTGCTTCAGTTCAGGTCCATTTTCTCGAATAATTTTGAGTACATGATGTCACAGGAACTACCTCCTTCGATGAGGATCTGAGATACATCAAACTTCCCAACTGTAGCAATGTTCACGAAGGGGAAATTTTGTTGGGAATGTCTCCGATTTTTTCTGAGTCGCGGAATCCCAACATACGACGGTCGGGAACTTTTGTCAGCGTCTTTCTCTCCTTGCGATAAACACCCATCATCTATGCGATTTTTTTTTGCGTGGTACTTTTGAACGAGAGGTTCTCTTATGGGGCTTCTCCGATTATAGCAGCAATGTATGGGCAATTACCTTTGCTTACTTCATTGCTTTCTCCACTTGTCTCGGCCATTATGATCTTTGAGGGGGACTTACCTTTAGATGCCACCTCTCTATCTCGCTTGCCTCCTTTCACATTTTTGGCTAGTCATCCCCTATTTATCAGTTATTCAATAAAATCTTTTAATTGAATACAATCATTAATATTGTGGTTGTGTCTTTTATGGGTGTGAACATATTTTGATTTGTCTGTCCGAGATGACTCTCTGACAAGGTATGAGGGTCAGATTCCTATTTTTGAAATTCAGTATTTATATAGTCTTGGCAAATCTTCTCACGAAACATCCTCATAGGAGTTTACTTGTTGTACTTTCCTAACATTCCCCGATCAGGATCATCGCGACGTTGGTGGTATTCCTTCCAAACTTAGAAATTGGAGTGAGAATCAGCAGAGGGATGGTTATAAAAATGCGTAGACAGATTCTCTTCCAAGATCATGAAAGGCTCGACCATATTTAACATTTCTTTCATAGACTTCACCTTCCTTTTTCCTAACTTTTTCCTGAAAGAATGGTCTCTCAGAAGAACGTTCCCGAAGATTCAACATTGAAGACCTTCCTGAGCTCCTTCCACCTCAGTAGATACCTGCATGAATCGGTTTATATATGACTACAAACTTTCTCTCTTCTCTTGCATAATCCCACTTAGGGCGGGTTCAGTTATAGGTCGCTGCTTCCGAGCAGTGAACTCCGCAGAAAATATTTTTTGAAATTCCGTCCAAGAATCAATACATCTGTCGGGAAGACCATTGAACTTTAGTCGAACTTGTTCGACCAGACTTAACACAACAACTTCCACTTGGATGCATCATCAACACTAAAGTAACTTAGTCGGTCATCTACAAGTAGCATATGCCCGTCAAGATCTCCTTTCCCTTCGTAATCGCTCAATTTAGGAGGTTTCTCCATAGACTTCAGAGTCTTTCTATCCAGTATTCTTACTGACAACAGGTACTTCGGTTGCACTTTTCCTGAATGAGTTTCTGCTTACGCTGGGGAAGGTGCATGGCTGCTCCGGAGGGGCTGAGAGAAGGAGTATGATGCTTCCTACTTCTATGTTGGTCCTTTGATTGAGGAGCCTTGTCTCTTCTAGTTTCGGGGTAGCAACACGAGTCTTTCTCAAAGCAACTTCTTTAATTTTATTTTCACAGGAGGGAGCGTTGTGAAAGCTTTCTTCCAGACACTTAAACCTTACTTCAAAGGCGTGAGAATTCTGTTGGCAAACGATGTTAAACACATTGTTCAACAGTTTGTTAATACCTTGCATACCGAGGTTTTCCTAGAGAGTTTGGAAGACTGACAAGTTGTGTAACCAGAAGTGGAACTGGAGTCTCTATCGGATATTCTTGAATAAATCTGGGTAATTGTGAAACTCGAACTAGATTTGGATGCATCGGATCGACCATTTCAGGATCTACGGTGTTTTCTTGTAGAAGAAAATGTGGTTGATTCCTTATTGATAGAGTAGTAACTACGACTTCTCGTGTTGCGGAAGATCTAGTAGCTTTAGATCCAGCCATCATTGGTGAAAGTAAAAATGAGAATTTGGAGATTTAAGGAGAAGAAATTGATGTAATGTTGAATTGAATCAGAACACGGTAGGTTTCTCGTTTTAGTGCAAAGACTTGCTCTGATCATCGGAAGAAGTCATGTACTGCGAAAAATTGGAGAAAATGTGAATTCGTGAAAATCGTAGGAATCAACATTTGTTTCCCATAGACAGTGCCACTGTTCCGTTCGGGAATCAGAAATGAGAAGGTATACGGCGGTTGATGGTGGATCGTGGCTTTCGATGTGGTTGAGTGAAGGGACCTACAAGGTTAACATTCCAAATGAAATGAAATTGTGTTTGAAATATGTTACTTGATTTTGACGCCCTCATTATATATAGTAGAGAGGGAATGACTAACTTGTTATTAGTTAGGAGTGAATTGGGTGAGTCGTTGGATGTTTTACGGTTGATATCTTAGATGATCATTAGAATGATAATCATTGGATATTGTGAAGATTCTGGAAGGAGTGGGATCCTTATTTGATTGCTTAGTTGGGATCAATATGGTCAACATGACCCATCCATGGTTGATATGACCAGTCCATAATAGTTCAAATATATGCAATCCTAACTTTTTTTTCTCTAAAGTTTTTCACAAAATCTCTCTAGACATTATCACATGCCTTCTCCAAGTCAATAAAAACTGACGTCGTAGTAGATAGATCGTTTTTCATGGTCGATCTCCCAGACATAAAACTAAATGGGTTCTCAATGACTAAAGTCTCTTAGTCATAGTTCAATTGTTCTTTTCCGTAACTTCATAATATGACTTATAAATTTAATATCCTTATAATTTACACAATTTTGTATATTCCCTTTGTTTTTATAGATTAGAACTAAACTGTTTTTTCTCCATTCATTTGATTTTTTTTACCTTATAATTTCATTAAAGAGTTTAGTAAATAAGTCAATCTATATCCAAAAATATGTCCACTCCTATATATATATATATATATATATATATATATATATATATATATATATATATATATATATATATATATATATATATATATATATATATATATATATTTTAACCCAACCACCTTATTGTTGCTCGTTATTTTCAACATTAATTCGACAGTATTAATTCCAATCGTCTTCTTTTACCTCGATTTATTTATTTTACAATTAGTTATATAGTGGGAAAATGGAAGCAAGAAACAAAAGCTAGCCTAACAATTAGGAGGAATTAGCTATCCGAAAATCATACATTTGGAGATTGTAGCTTAAGAAATAAAAGTTAGCCTAACAATTAGGAGGAATTATACAATTATTTGGCAATAGTATTTTAGTAACCATAGCATGGATTTTCTAATAATCATCGGCATGCATTATTAAGAAAACTGGAAAAAAAATTATATAATTATTCCATCTTTCATCGTGTAATTGAGCCACTTATATTGTCTGCTCCATATGAAGCCTTTTCTATCAAAAACTACTGAATGATGGCAAATCTAGTGAAGCTTTTGCAATGGACTTGTATTCTTCAAGTTTCTCCAATTCCACTGACCCAAGTTTCTGTTACAAAAAAAAGGCTGTGAATTTTTTTCTTTCAAATTCTGAAAATTAGTGTCAGGTTAGATACTTCCATACCTTGTTATCCCATGCTCTTATGTAGCCAACAAGACAGATTTGCATCTGCTGCTCAGATTTAATGTCGGTGTTTGCATCAATGAACCAAACATTCTGCAAAATTAGTCCCCATAATGTGCATTAGTTAGTTAATATTAATTTGACACACTCATGGTTTATCATGTATATTGCTCTGCTCACTTTAGATATTATGCATCATCAAAGAATCAAAGAAATTGTTGAATTGTATAATTGAGTACTCACTACTTTTTTGTAGGAAGCACTGGACAAGTCCAAACTAATGCTAACCAATGTCTTGAAGTTCCTATTTGTATCGACTTTGGCCCAACCGAAGTAAATCCCAACAACTTGATCAGGAATACCAAATGCTACATTCTCTGGATTAAGGAATTCAACTATGTTAGAATGAATACCATGTTAAACTTTTAAAAAAAAAAATGAAACTTAAAGAGATTAAATGCATTGTTTTAAAAACAGAACAGGACAGTTCAACCGACTGAACCTTGAACAAGAACTTATTCCGGATAGGTTCATCCTGGCATTTTGATTTTGCTCATGTAACAAAGTTTATGAATGAAATGAGAAAAAGTTAGGAGTTTTGAAAACCTTTGGTTTCGAGAAGAGATCCTGTAGCATACAAACCACTCACATGAATCGGCTCAATAGGCAATGTGTTATCAACCCCTGCCATTATTAATTTGGAAAATTACTATGATAACAGAACGCGCTATTAATTATTGAAATTCATTAACATATTTAAGAAGTAATAGAGGCATTACAATCATCAAAAGGTGGAAGGCCCCATAGCTCAGGTTGGAACTCTAAAAGTGAATTAAGAGTAACATTTGCCAGCTTACAACAATCCGATTCGCCGCGAGACGGTACAGCGACTATCTTCATTTTTGCAGCATGAGCTGCTTTGACACCAACCCTGTTAAAGCACATTGCAGAACATAAACATTACAAAAATATGATTATCACACGAGAATTCCAAGTGGCTGGAGAATAAGAAATGACTCATTCAGAGTGCTACAGAGATTCTGGAAGACTTACAAGGAATCTTCAAACACAAGGCAGTTCATTGCATTTACACCCATTCTCTTGGCAGCTTCTTCAAACCTGTAACAATTAGAGTCGATTACAAATGTGATGAAACTGGAAGAGTATAAATTATCATAGTATTGAAGTCGCATCTTGTGTTGCGTCCGCAATTTAAAACACTTCTCGGGATAAGGAATCTTACAAATCTGGAGCAGGCTTCCCAAATTTAACCTGATCATTTCCTAGAATTACAGAGAAGCTTTCTGTCCAACCTACAAAAATCAATTTTATCAAGTATCAAATATATAATTTTAAGCAGGAAACTACATATCAAGTATTCCAACTTATTAATCTTAAGCTGAAACTATCCTAATCATCTAGTGCATGTTTGAATTTGCAAGTTTGATAAAATTACAAAAACTCATACATGAAAAACAAATACAAATAGGTGTAAAGTACCTTTATGGTAAGGAATTTTTGCATATATGTATTCTCTCAAGGAGTTTGAAGCAAGAGCCATCGGTACACCATTTTTCAAAAAATGTTTGATGATTCGATTAGCACCGGGCAACGCTTTCGCTTCTCTCCACCTAAATCAATTCATGAATTGAAAAAGAAGAATCCTCGAACGCGTAAGCAATTAATCACCATATATACATAGTCATATATAAACCCTAAACCCTAAACTCTGACGATAAATATAAAGTGTTGTTACCTTTGAATATAGAGAGGGTTAATTTCTTTGATAAATTGGTCAGGTGTTAATGGGAGCTGATAATCCTTAACAATTAAAGCCGCTGATTCCTTCTGTGTCATCCCTAACCTCTTTTTTTCTTCCCTTTCCTTATTCACTTCCTTCCCATACTTTCCCATAAACTCATTCAACACACCCCTTGTAACCCTTTCTGCACACACCAATGATAAACACAAATTCAAAATTCATAAAAAATCAACAAAATTTCAGCAACAAGCGAAATACAAATAGAAATACCAGTATCGAGAAGTGTGCCATCTAAGTCAAAAATGATAGCCAAAATATTGGGTTCATTGTTGCAGCCATTGATCTTGTAACAGTTGCTCATGACAGTATCAAAGATGAGATTGGGATTGGTGGATTATAGAAGTATAATGAATAACGTGTGATTGTGATGATGACATGAAGCATAAATTGTGAGTGATAGTTGATTTGATTATATAGCGTTTGCGTCATGAAGCAGCATGTTCTTGCGGATATTCCATGGAAGTGAAAGAATTTGAAGCGTTAGGGCTTCTTTCATTGAGTTTGTAATCCTATTTTATAAATTTTGAATTAATTGCAACTTTGGTCCCCCTATTTTGTATTTTTTGGGTTTTGATCCTCTATTTTAAAAATCACTATTTTAGTCTTTTTTTTTTTTTTTTTCTTTATTTTTAGGTTTCAAGATTATTATTAGTCCTCTTGCCATTTTAAGTCATGTTTTTAATGATGTGGCGCGTTGAATGATGATGTGGCATTTCCATGTCATTTAAAATGGTCTTATTATTTTTAATATCATTTTCATGTCATTTAGGTTTTGTTTATTTCATTTTCAGAAAATTAATAAAATAAAACCTAAATGTAAAACCCCATTTCTTCAACCATTCATTTTTTCCATTTCCATTTCATTTTTCACGAAGAACAACTCATTTCTTCAGCCATTTCTTCAAACTCAGTCCTCCTTTCTTCAACAAACCCATACCAACCCTTCTGTAGCCATTAATTTCGAACCCCTACTTACCAACATGTCCGAAACGAAAATTTCTTTTTCCTCAACAAACCAGTCTGGGTCTGGTATAAGAAGAAGAGGTAATAGATGTTGGTGTGAGCTTGAGTCACCGTTGATGACGTCATGGACATACGATAATTCCGGAAGAAGATTTCATGGTTGTGGTAATTTTAAGGTGATGAAGAAAAAAGGATGGAATTACTTTCAGTGAGTTGATGAAGACATGAGCAGTCGTGTTAAAGATGTGATAAAATCTTTAAAAGACAAGAATGAGAAGCTTATGGATGTGATTAAGGATATCAAGAAAAATGAAGATTTGTTGAAGATGAAAATTAGGTTTGTGTATTATTTTGTGGGGTTATCTTTGATGTTTGTCTTTTTAACTGTGTTTGCATTAGTTGCAACACATGTACTCAAATGATGTAATGTCAAATGTTGTAGTTACTTTGATGTTTATGTAGTTTCCAAATGAAGTAATCTCAAATGAAGAGTTATGATTGTTTGTGTTAATAAAGTAGCAGCATAATATTGTAGTAGCATAACCTTGTATTATGTAGCATAATATTAAAGTAGCTGCATAATATTTCAAATGAAAAGCAGCATAACCTTGTTTATGCAGAATAACTTGATAAATAGTATGATACAAAATGACTGAATACTAGTTCTTATTTACAATGATACAAGACTCCCAGTTCTAAATTAATAGGGAAATCAGGGAACACATCATGTAATAACTAAAGTAAATTGGAAACAGATTTTAGGAGATAATATAAGATACTCAAAGGTTTGAAGCTGATCTTTTGTGCAAACAGTTTGAAACAGATTTTAGTAGTACTTTTGCAAAGACAAAGTACAGAAAAGTATTGAAAGGTACAAAAACAGTTTGAAGCTGATCTTATAAATCTCTTTGTTACGTTAGTAAATTGGTATTTTTGGATACTTTATGTTGTAAAAGAAACCAACATATCACTTTCAACTATCCTCTTCTGTATTTTGAAACTTGTTAACTAATAATTGGGTGTATTACAGCTAGTTGCAAAATCAAGGTGTCTGTACTTATTAACCCATAAATGATTAATAGTAAGGAAGATACTTATGGTTGTTGTTCAGCCTATAGTTGTCAAAGCCATAAAGACCTCCTTTTTAATGAATCCTGACAAGCTTTTGAATAAATATTACATAACAGGAAGTTTAGTTCAGTGCTGTCAAAAATTGAAACCTTAAAAGACCTACATAACAGGCAGCATTACTTTGAACACTTATTTATCATAGCAGCACTACATAACAGGTAGGCAACATTACTTTGAACATTGATGTATCATAACAGCACTGTATTCTAATAATAAACTGATGTATAAACATCACTGCATTGTAATAATAAACTGATGTATAACATTGAAGGTTGATGGATAAACAACACGGCATTGTAACTTTACATATCAAACAGCAGCATTACATAACAGCACTACATAACATAACATTGAAGGCTGATGTATCAAGACTGATGTATCATTACATTGAAGGCAGCATTAAAGACAACATATTTTAACAAAAAGACCTTGAGTTTTTAGGTCATAACATATGTTATAACAGCATCACAAAAAGTAAAGTAAAACATAGAATTATTCTTGGGTTGGTGGCGATGCTTGCGACCCTCCGTCTATAACAGTTTGTCTCACTTCCTTGCCTAACTTGTCACCATTTTTTTAGATTTTTTGTTGCCACCTTTAGGAATCGCTCTCTCCGCAGCTCGCTTCCCTTTACATGTTCGTTTGTTATGGCCAAAACTCCCACATTTCTTGCACTTGACAGTTTGAAGAGTTCTAGGCAGTGTATTTCTTATCCTCGGTTCATCATTTGCCTTGTTACGATTCTTATTAGGACGACTGATAGATCTTCACATGACTGGAGGGCTGATTGGGCTAGCAACATTAACAGACCATAGTTGTGGGCCATTGGTTGGCATAATAATATGGCTATAAGTAGCCAGAACAGTAGATTTCCTAGACAATATGACACAATGATTTTAGTAAACGTACAAAAAAGATGAATGTAAATGAACATAATATACAAGTAGGTGATACCTATAGAATGATGAAACGTACTCTTCGGGCTCCTTCTTGTTATACCATATGCATGCAATAGCATGACAACATGGTATTCCACTTAAATCGCATTTCCTACAACCACATTTCTGTTGAAGCAAGTTCACAACATATGTCTCAACACCGTTTGAAACTCCGAATATAGCAAAGTTATCATCTGCATGCCATGTTGCAATCCATCCTTCTGCTGCCCTCTTTGTTTTTTCCAAGACTTTTTGAATGTTAGGACTTATAACACCTGTGTACCTACTTAATTTCTCCTTTTAAGCAGCGATTCTCACTGTTATGTAATGTTTGATTCCTTCAAGTAGTGAAATGATCGGCTTATCTCTATACTCCAAGATTGCACGATTAAAAGCCTCACACATATTGTTGACTTGCAAATCATATTGTGTGTCTGTTTTGAAATGAGACCGAGTCCAACATGCAGCTGGGACATCCATCATGTCTTTCTAAGCATTGACATTGAGCTCTTTCATATGATTCATTGCTCTTTCCCATGCAGGAATTGTTATGGCTCTAGTTGCCCGCCATAAAGCGTCCTTCATAAATATCCCAGGATATTTCTTTCTCCAATTTCCATACAAGTGTTTAACACATAGTCTGTGTTCAACATGTTAGCTTGTCTCAAGAATAGCTGGTACCAATCCCTAAAATAATAGCACATAACAACACATCAAACAGCAGTACATAACAACACATATCAACACATCATTAGTCTTTGATTAATTTAAATGCACATTAGTCTTTCTATCTATTTACATACTTTTGCTTATCAAATTGTTATTGAAAACTTAGCAGTAGCAGCATCACATTTGGAAACTTAGGCCATATGTTATAGCAGCATCACATTTGGAAACTTAGGCCATAGCAATAGCAGCATCACATATCAAATTGTTATTGAAATTCCCCTCTTATTTAAATGCATATCAACACACCATTTAGGCCATAGCAGTAGCAGCATCACATTTGGAAACTTAGGCCATAGCAGTAGCAGCATCACATATCAAATTGTTATTGAAATTCCCTTCTTATTTAACAAATAGCAACACATGTCAAACAACATAGCAGCATTGTAATGGAACATAACAGCATAACAGCACATATCAAACAGCATAGCAGCATAGCAGCACAACTAACACATAACACATATAACATCACATAACAGCAATGTAAAAATAACCTTCTGTTGATCTGATATAAATCCATATTTGTTGTCTTGTATAGATTGCAAGTCTTCTAGTAACAAATTAAGGAACCATTTCCAAGAGTCTTTCGTTTCAGCTTCCACTACGGCATAAGCGATTGGATAAATCTTGTTATTTCCATCCTTACCAACAACACCTATTAACTGATCTCCAAAGTCCCCTTTAAGAAAACAAGCATCTAGTCCTATTAGAGGCCTACAAGTCGTTGCAAACGCTGCCTTACAAGCTTCTAAGCATACATATATTCTTTCAAAGACAGGACCACCATCTGAATCAGCACACTTAATTTTAACATTGAAGTTTGGATTTGACTTTAACAACTCCTCACCATAGCTTCTAAGAAATGTGAATTGTTCACGACCAGCACCTTGAATCAATTCCATTGCCTTTTTCTTGGCTCTATAAGCTTGATCCTTTGACAACTTCACCCCCCCTTCTTAATAGCTTCTGCAATCAGCCCTTTGGTTTTTATTTCAGGAGTGTGTCTTATGGTGTACACAAATTGACGACCCAACCAATCCGTTTTTGCTTGTCTATTTTTGGATGTCCTATGACAGCCATGACGATCATTTAAGCTAACAAGTTGCCAATATTGATTGGTAATCCTCATGCTAAACCTAATATGAAATGGACAACCATCTACACACTTGACAACCATTATATTCTTGTCATTTTTCTTGAATACGAGATTCTTCTTGTTCTCCATTGCATACTCTTTTATGGCATCTTTGATTTGTTGTTTATCCTTGAACATCATCCCCACTTCAAGTTGTGTGGGTTCCCTAAAGATTGGAAACTTTTCCATATCACCTTCAGCATCACTACCCGGGTGGAGTTTGAAGCACATCCGAATCACTACCATTATCGGAATTACCATCCAACTTTGAAGGTTTTTCTGCTGTAGCATTAGGTAAAATGGTCTTCCAATTAATACTAACGTCAACACCTAAATTCATCACATCAATTTCATCTTCCAAATCTTCATCCTCTTCCTCGTCATCCTCATTGCCCATGCTATAATCTGGATCTGTTTCACTCCCGCCATCTACGTCATCAATATTAACGTTAACCTCTTCATCTACTTCATCGACAATAACCTCTTCATCTACTCCATCGACACTAACCTCTTCATCTACTCCATCAACACTAACCTCTTCATTTTTTTCTCCCTCAACATTAACTTCATCATTTGCTCCCTCAACATTAACTTCATCATTTGCTCCCTCGACATTAACTTTATCATTTGCTCCCTCGACATTAACTTCATCATTTGCTCCCTCGACATTAACTTCACCGTTACCGTTTGCTCCTTCACCATTGACTTTTTCACCATTATCCTCCTCAAAAATAACATCCTCAATACTTATTTCTTCAACTTTGTGTTCAACATAAAGATCAACTACCTTAAATCCTCTAATATCCTCCATTAATCTTAAGACATCATTATCATTGTTCAGAGGCCAAAGTCCACGAGAAAAGGAAAAATTAGGATTCCAATACCATAAACACTTTATATTACGATACCCCTCACTCTTGATTAAATCTTCAATTTGCATGTAGGACATCAAGTCCATATCCCAATCCCAATTCATTTCAGTTACAAGCCTATCAACATACAACAGAACTGGATTCTGAATTAAATATCCCCTATGGTGTACTCTAAATCTGACAGCTTGGGTATCAGAGGGCCTACAAAACACAAATGACAGTTTCTGAATTAAAACATAGATAAAACCGGAAGTTGGTATAAACAAATCATATGCTATGACAGAACACAAACGCCATTTGCGTGTTTAGAGTTTTTGTATTCAGAGGTGAGTTACGAAACATACCTCGACACGTAACTTCGGTTTGCCATTTCAGAGACGACTGAAAGCGAGCTGCGGTCTAATTTGAAGCGAGCTGTGGTTTGATATAGAACTGGATTTGAAGAAATGGGAAGATTCGTTCGTGAAAGAGAAGACCAAGATTCGTTCATTCGTGAACTAGGTTTGAAGAAATGGGTTGAAGATGAAAGAGCTGGGGTTTTACATTTAAGTTTTATTTTATTAATTTTCTGAAAATGAAATAAAAAACCACGTTAATGACATGGAAATGATATTAAAATTAATAGGACCATTTTAAATGACATGGAAATGTCACATCATCATTCAACGCGCCACATCATTAAAAACATGACTTAAAATGACAAGGGGACTAATATCAATCTTGAAACCTAAAAAAGGGACCAAAATCGTGGTTTTTAAAATGGGAGGATCAAAACCCAAAAAAACACAAAATAGGGGGACCAAAGTTGCAATTAAGCCAATTGATTTTTAAAAACTGTTTTTTTTAGAGATAATAAAAAATAGTGATTGTTTGATAATTTTATTTTTAAAAGCTTAATGGGAAGAAAAAAAAAGGTTTAATTGCAATTTTGATTTTTTTGATTTTTTATTTTTTTATTTTTGATTTTCTATTTTAAAATTTGAAATTTTTATTCCTCTATTTTCATTTTTTTTTTACTTTTGATCCCCTATTTTAAAATTCAAAATTGTGGACACTTTATTTTAATTTTTTTAGTCTTTTGATCTCCTTTTTCAATTGGAAAAAGGACTAAAATCCAAAAACAAACTTAAAATAGGAGGATCAAAAGTAAAACAAAATGAAAATAGAGAGATCAAAATTTCGAATTTTAAAATAGGGGGATTAAAAATAAAAAAAATTGAAAATAGAGGGACCAAATTTTCGAATTTTAAAATAGGGGGACTAAAACTAAAAAATAAAAATAAAAAGAGGGACCAAAATTGCAATTAAGCCAAAAAAATTTGTTTGATAAAAGGGTTTAATGGAGACGCATTATAGTGTAAAAAAGTTTTGCATTGTTATTTAATAGGAATATATTATTCTGACATGTAATTGTGGTAACCCGAAATTTGACATTCCCTTTTGCCTTTTTACATAAGCATGTGCACTCGCATTTCCAGCATACGCGAGTTCCAAGCCTAACCCCAAACCAAGTTCCAAGCCTAACCCACTCAAAACCTACACTCTATTTAAGCAAACCTTCACATTATTGCAAAGGACCTTGATCATTTTCTTAATTTTTTCATTCTTCACTCTCAATTTGCTCTGCATTTTCTGCAACTTTCTCTTTCAATCATCTTCATCTTCTTCACCAAGCCTCACTAGAGCTCTTTCCACCATTAAAGCTTAGCAAGTTTCATGTTGAACTTGCTAATATTTGAGATAAACCTCCATTCCACTATATTTCTTCTTTGAATTCTGCAAAAACAACAACTTCTACTTCGATTCAAGTTTTGGAAGTTGATCATTACAAGAGTTTCGGTGTAAATTCGGATTTGAAACATTTATCGCGTTTTCTCCGGTTTTCTTGCTACGGATTGCTCTAGATATTAGAATTCTCTAGTTTTCTTTACTTCTTCGCATCATATTTTTTGCTCAACAATTACCAAGGCAAACCTCAGCCTTGTAGGTTGGTGAATTTCTGCTTAATTTACCGTTTTTGAAATATTTCGCGTTTTTGCAATATATTTCTTAGTTGATGTTTTGTTACTTGGGTTCTTCCTTTGCATGATTGATTCTTTTAACTTTCATCTGCTATGAATTAACATGAATTTTGTATCTCATTCTAGGCTTTGATCCACTGCAATTACATGTGAAAAGTGATTCTGAAAAATGCTTTTGGAATGTTGTTTTTGCTGTTTTTTGTTGAGGTAACCAGTTACCTCATCATGTAACCGGTTACTTCACCCAGTCTACGCCCCTAAAAGTGTTGTTTTTCATGGGGTAATCGGTTACCTCATGAAGTAATCGGTTACCACTAATACTTTTTGCAAAGATCTTGCTTTTGAGGGTTGTTTTGCATAGTTTTCTTGTGTGGCTTCTCATGCTTACTTGTATTTGTGACACCCTTTTCTACCCCAAAAATATAATGGCAAATCATTCACATTTATTAGAGTAATATTTTAAACATAATAAAAATCACCTCAAAGGACGTACATTTCTCAATAATTCAAATCAAAGTCAAATGCTCCGTAAACAACGGGTTTTCCCAAAATTACTCAAAAATTGCTCAAATGGCAGCGGAACTCAAAAAGGCAAATCCAAAGTTTTCCTTGCACAACAACATAATCAAAATAACAAAAATTAATAAAACATGGTTTAACTCAAAAACCCCAACCCGATGTTACACTATCAGAACAAGACCCTCTAAGTCAACCAAAATGTCAAAAACTCCAAAAAGTCCTCGGCGGCATCCACGGCTAAACCTGGTCAGTTGCACGTTACCCACGCAGAGGTAACATTCAAACAGGCAGGGGGAGTAAACAACATTCAAACAGGCAGGGGGAGAAAACAATGAAGGTAATACTCCTCATACTTAAACAACCTCAAAAATAGATTTGGCCACGAAGGCCTAATTTTCCTCAAACTCAAAAACCTCCTAAATACTTAAATCGACTTTAAATACATTGAATCATATATTGAAAACAATGAAGGTAATACTCTACATACCTTAATCTTCCGACTCTAAACCTTTCTTCTTTGATTCTTGGAAACCTCGTGAAGCTTTACCTCAATCCTCTTCCTCAGAGCTTTGGCCTCTATTTCTTCCCTTTTCACGGTCTAACAAGAATGAATCCTAATTCCCTCAAAATTCTTTTTTGTTAAACCTAACTTTGGATCTTAAAATGGGCTTTCCAATTTCACGCTCACTAACTCCTCCTCAAATGTTCATTTTGCCCTTAATTCACATATATTTATTTAAGTTAATAATAATATCAATATATTCATATTATATACTATTATTTAAATAAATAACCCAAAATTCATAATTCTCAATACTTCATACCAACCACCGCAAATCACCAAAAATACGAATATTCCTATTTAAATAAATTAAATGAATATTCAAATAAATTTGGGGTGTTACAACTCTACCCCACTTAAAAGAATTTTCGCCCTCGAAAATTACCTCAAGGAAACAGAGTTGGATACGACTCCCTCGTCTGATCCTCACGCTCCCGAGCCCAACTTTCTCCAGCTGGTCCTCCCAAAACTACCTTTACCAAGGAAATCTCTTTATCTCGAAGTTGCTTCACTTCTCGTTTATTAATCTGTACTGGAAATGCCTCAACAGTCAAATTATCTCTCACTTGTACATCATCTATCTGAATCACATGTGACGGATCTGGAATGTACTTCCTCAACTGAGACACATGAAACACATCTTGCAAATTCGCAAGCAACAACGGTAAAGCAATTCGGTATGCTACTCCTCCCACCTTCTACGAAATTTGATACGGACCGACAAAATACGGTGTGAGCTTTTGATACTTCAAAGCTCGGCCAACACTAGTTACCGGCGTAACTCTCAAAAACATGTGATCTCCCTCCTGGAACTCGAGTTCTTTCCTCCTCTTGTCATGGTAACTTTTCTGACGACTCTGCGATGCTTTCCTCTTTTCTTGGATCATTTTGATCTTTTCAGCCGTTTGCTGAACAATCTCAGGTTCGAGCATAACACTCTCGCCTGACCCATACCAACACAAAGGAGTCCTACATATCCTACCATAAAATGCCTCATACGGTGCCATTCCAATACTAGAATGATAACTGTCGTTGTAGGTAAACTCAATCAACGGAAAATGACTATCCCACGATCTACCTTGATCCAACACACAAGTCTCAGCAAATCCTCTAAAG